CAATGCCACCCCGACTTACGGTACTAAAAAATGTTAAGAGCAGTATATTTGTATCGATGAGACCAATCTTATATTCATAGGTCAACGTTAAAACCAATACAATCTTGTATATTTCTAGAAAATAAAAAAAATATATAAAAAGCCGTTATAAAATTCGTTAAGGTGAAAGCAACTTGGTGAGTAAAAATAAATTATAAAATGGTTTTCCTGAGAATTCACTTCAGATTGGAAATAAAAATTTCATCATTTTGCGTGAACTAAGAAAAGGAATTTCAGTGATGCCTCAGAGAAAACCATTTTTTTATTTTTATTTACTCAATCGGTCAGTTTCACCTTTGCCTTACGTTCCCAAAAACAATTTGCCCGTTATTTCGCCTTTTTGGCTATAATAACCATAGTATATAGTATAACATAACCTATACGGGACCCATAAGACTTACAAACTCTAGAGTGTATAGCACGCAGTTAGGTCAGTGTTCTATAAATTAGTGATATTCCACATGATTAAAACAATCACTTGAGGATTTCTAATGAAATTTTCACCCATGTCAGTTGTTACCGTTATCTTATTTTAGATTAATAAATTCCAGGCGGTGATCAACTCAACAATAACACCTAATATGACTTTTACCCAGACATCACAAAAGTTCGGTCAATGGAGTGACGTACGAGCGAATACCGTCTACGGCCTGGGATTTTCGTCGGAAGCTGAGCTAGGGAAGGTAAATAAATAAAAAAATAAATACAAGATCATAAGTCTGGGGTTATCCTTTAAAAAACATGTAATTTTTGTTTGCTCATATTTTTGCAATTTTACGACCGACTTTCGATCTTTATAGGTTATTTGAAAGTAATAATTGAATTGAATATTATATCATTATTGAATACTAATCCTTCTCTTAAAACTTCAATATTTTACAAAATTCTCACTGAATATGCTTGACTGACTTTCTCAGAATTGGGTTGACAAAATTTTGAAAGGAAAGTGGTAGTAGAACCCTTATTCTACAGCCATCGTGATACGTTGGATTGACGTACGAATTGGAAATTTAGATTGAAATAAATAAAATAGTTACTCAAGTCATCGATCATGTATGTATATGAACCGTTCTACCTTAACATCAACTCACAATTCAGTGAGCGCAATTACATAAGTATCGATTCCTCTGCTTACCGTCTCCAACTTTCCTAGCGGTATCTAACCCATAAAGTACCAGGACGAACGAATTTTTTTCAACAACCTCGTCCTCAGCAATGCCTCATCTGATTTTCATAAACAGGGATTTTTATTCAAGAGGAATAGTTGAACTAACTTTTGTCGTAGGTACCACCCCCTTAGAACCCTCATCGTTCTTGTGAGATGTAAATATGTCTGTGTTTTTTTTTTGTACTTTTTTAACCAGTTTGAGCAAATGTTTTAAATTTTCACGCGATTCGGTTTTCTGGTGCAGCAAATGATATCAGATAGATGACATATGGTTAGTAAGACTGAATTTAAATATTTCCATAACGTATGGCTACGATATTATCGGTTGCGGGAGTCCCGGAAATTGGTTCTGTAGGACATAGTAATATCACAGACAAACAGACATAACACTCGCAAGTTGTTCATCGAACAAGCATTTAACGGTCAATTTAAAAGTGGCGCGCAAAGTCATTTCCCTTGAGTTTGACGTTTACACACTACCACCATCTGTTCAGCGTACTACCCACCACAGTGTACTCAACAGATGGCGGTAATGTTTTAACGACGATGTTTTACAGTGAGAAATATACAATGTGTTATGTCTGTTTGTCTGTGGTAATATCTCAGGTAAAAGTATCAAATCATGTCTAATAGGTAGAATCAAGTAAATGAAGATGATTTGAGATGATGTTGACCAGTTTGGCATCGGTTCCGGAACGCGGATCTGTGAATTCCGGCGAACAGTTTGTTGAAATATAATTAAATTGAGGTTATGATATCATATTATGCCAAAATGACAAGCTATGATCAATGGAATCAGGTTGTAGTGTATATGATGACATATGGGCACATTGGCATCGGTTCCGGGAAATCCGTGGAATTTACTTATTTTTCTTCGACTTCGTCATTATTTGTAGCATATAAGTACTTCTCCCAGAATTTTGATACCAAAATTAATAATGTCAAACTGGGGCCTGTTTTAAAGCCACGAAGACTTCAATGGGGGAGGGGAGTCAAGCCAAAGTATACGCTCGGAAAAATATTTTAAAATTTTAGTAAAGTATACGATGGGGAAAGGTAGGATCTGCAATGCAATGGTCTACGTGGTTTATGGACAGCCCGCAGGTTGAACTGAATGTTGCACCCAACTTGTAAGTTACTCATAGATTTCGTTAGTCACCGCTGCTGTGACTCGATGGAGACGCATTGTGAACTACCTTGCGTCTTCATCGTTTACATGCACGTGTGGTGTATATATTGCGGAACAATGATTTTTAATTTAAAAAAAATTGTATCTCCAAAACTACTTCGTCGACATTGCTAATTTTTTTAAATGTTACGTTAAATTAAATGATCTTTCAATTAAAAATACTAAAATAAGAAGTTGTTGAAGACCCTCGCAGTGAAAGTGCTCATGCACTTCTGATACTCTCAGTGCTAGCTGGCGTTGCTTGATCGCTGCTCATTTCTCCATTCACGCTGCAGCTCCGACATAATCTGCGTGACTGCTCTGTTGATGGCATTCCAAGTACTCAACACATTTCATCGACGACATTCTCCACGTTAAAGACAGGCATCTCCCTTCGCACTGTCTCGAACCACATGCTCTGGCGTGTCCGAACCGAGGCAGGTATTTCTTGAAGCAGTCGTGGCCAGACAGGAACTGCGTTAGGTGGAAGTTGACTTCTCCGTGTTTTTTGTTCACCCAGGTCGAAAGAATCGGTATTAGTCGATGTGTCCATCTACTGTTCTCCACTGTATTCGACTCCTGTTGTCACTCAGCCAACGATTCCGCTTTCACAACTTTCCGTACTCTTACAGCTTCTCTCCGTTTGTAGCACTCGCTGTCCTCCACCAGGGTGATGCCGATAGGGATCATTCCAGCGATAACGCATACTGCTTCCAACGAGATAGTTCTGTACGCACTCACGACTTGCATGGCCATGATCCGGAACGTACTGCTCAGTTTCCTTTGGTTCTGCTCCGTTTCCAGCGCTGGAACTAAGGCTGGACCTCCATACCTCAGTATCGACGACGACACACTGGCCAGAAGACGCCTCTTGCTACTGCTGGGACCAGCGTTGTTCGGCATGATTCTAGCTATCACGTTGATGACCTTCGAAGCCTTCTCACAGGCATATTCGACGTGGCTGTTTAAGTTTAGTCGGTCATCAATCATCACTCCCCGCTTTTAACACACGCTTTGAGGCTATGGCGTGCTTCCCGACGATGATTTCTGCCCGCTGTACCGCTTTACAGATACTGACGAATAACGCTTCCGCTTTGCTGTTGGCTATCTGCAGCTTCGTTCCTTGCATTGAGTTACCAATCATGTCTATCGCCTCGGTTGACGAAACTTCCAGTTCTTCCAGCATCTTGCCTGTTACCGTCAAGACGACGTTGTCCGCAAAGCCAACGATCTCAACTCTTTTGGGCAGCTTCAGCGTTAAAAGGCTCTTGTACATCCCGTTCCAGAGCGTCGGACCAAGGATGAAGTCTTGTGGAATTTTCGCTGTGATCCTTATCGATTTCCGGCCCATGTCTGTCTCGTAGACCAGAACCCGCTCAGGATTCTGCACAGGTAATCAAGGACTCTCATTCTATGCAGTGCTTCGGGGATGGCCTTCCAGCTGGCGCTGTTGAACGCATTCTTTACGTCGATTGTTATCACGGCACAATATCGATCTTCTCTCCACTTCTGTTTGGACGCCTTCTCAGCCCTTTCGACCACTGTCCGAATTGCATCCACCGTCGATATCCCCTTCTGAAATCCGAACTGCCTCTCCGACAATCCGTGCTCACTCTCCGCGCATTTCGTCAGCCTGTTTAGAATGATCCTCTCCAAGAGTTTTCCAAGTGTATCCAGCAGGAATATAGACCGAAACGATGCTGGATCCCCCAGTGGTTTTCCTGGTTTCGGCAGTAACACTAGCTTCTGTATATTTTACCTGTCAGGAAAGTGACCCTCGTCCAGGCATTTCTGCAGCACCATCCTGAACATATCCGGGGACGCCTGGATCGTTGGACCTCTGATCTTCGCCATCATGACTCGGTATGAGTCGCCCCAGGGGTTGGCATCAGCGTCTCGACACAGCTCCTTAAAACAGTTTGACTGGCTCTGCTTTATATCTCGTTTATATATCTCGTGGCCGCTCGAAACACTTCTCCTCGTTCCTCTCTGTCTGCTCCTGTTCTTGCTCTCTGAACACGTCTTCTGGCTCTGAGGCAACTAGCGCGGAGGGTTCTAAGTGCCTCGTTCCACCAGTAAACTGGATGCCGTCTGTTATTTGGCTCCAGTTTCCTCAGCTTGGTCGTGTCACATGCTCTCACTAACGTTTCTGTCAGCTCGTCCGCGTTCAGAACCACGGGGCTCCTGTCCACACGGAGTGCCTCAACGAAAATATCCTTGTCGCAAGCATTCGTCTTCTACTTCCGGTCACAAGTTCTCGTCCTCCGTAGTGCCACAGTATTCCGTTGGTCGACGCTATATAGGAGCGCCTGATGGTTGCTATGGGTGTATCCTTCACACACTCTCCAATCCATGTTTGCCACCAGCGAAGGACTGCAGAAAGTAACGTCGCTAATGGATTCCCAGCCATCTCTGCGAAAAGTTCTGCTGGTGCCTTCGTTCGTCAGCATAACTTCCAGTTTTGCCAGAGCTTCCAGCAGACTTTGCCCTCTTGCATTGGAACATCTGCTTCCCCACTCCATTGCCCAAGCATTGAAGTCTCCTCCGATGACTACCGGTCGTTGTCCAATCAGCTCTTCGGTATGCCCATACAGAATCTCATGGCACTACTCCATAGGCCATATGGGGAGTCCGTAACAACTACATATGAAGATTCCGTTAATTTTGTATGCTAGGCATTTGAAACCTCCCGTAGTATGATCATTTTCGCCCTCTTTTTTGCACAGCATACACCTTGGTTTCTTCATGCAGCCTCTTGTAATAAGACCTTTCTCCTCGCATTTCCTGCACAGATCAGATCTGTCAGGGCCATTGCAGTTCCTCGCCTGGTGACCGAAACCCATGCACTTGAAGCTTCGCTCCAGTTGCTTGGTAACCCGAGGAGTGGCTTTCAGCGAGCAAGCTACCCGTCTCCAACAGCTTATTTGCTGCATCTGATGACAGCCGTATCAACGCACTTCTCAGCTCCTCTTCTGTAGTGATCTCGTCCAAATCCCTGCACTCGACCACTGTGGAATTAATCAGAAAAGCTCAATTTGAAGGATTTACTAATGAATTGGTAGATCTAACAAAAAATTAGATTTGACGAAGCCTACACACTACACAATTAATCTAGCTCGGTAAAATATCCAACAGCCGATTACTTCGGCATTTAGTTTTGCTGATATCTCTGCAAACAATCTGTTTGTTAGCTGATATCTCAGCAAAATATTATATATTAGCTGAGTCTCGGCAATTGTTTGACTGAATCTCAGCAAAATAAATTACAGAATTACTCGGCTGTTGGAATCTCGGCGAAAATTTTTAAGTGTGTAAGATTATTTCACCGAAATCTGTGAAATTTTACT